AATTATATATTTGTAAAATATATTTGTTTCATCAATATCTTTCTTGCAATAACTTCCAGTTGCATTGGTATAAATGCCATCAGAATTTTTATATCCTAATTATTCCAATAAGACGTTTACAAGACGCAGGTTGTACAGATCATATAAAGGATATAATGAAGTTTTTATAGGCTCATGTTCTTTTTTCCTATTATTTTTCATTTAATTGTAATCATGGCTTGCTTAACCAAAATAATACCTCATAAATACAGCCTAAACTGTACCATTTACTAATAATTTTACTAATTACTAATTTTTTCTTGATTTGCTCTGCTTAAATTGGGGTGCATCAGATACGGTAGATAATTTTGGGTTATATGCTACAAGGTACACATACACAATTATATATGTGCAAAAATGGATATATAGATAGATAGATAGATACATGTAAACATGTACAACTGTAGATCAATAAGTCCATAGCTTCACACCATTATAAAATAATTTTGAACAGAAATTTACTACCGAATAAAGACTGTGCTATGTACATTGAAAGTAAAAGGGATTATCTTGAAAATCTTTTGGCTGTGAAAAATACATTTTTCTTCATTAAACTACAGATTTATTGTCAAGCCTATCTACAGACATACACAAATACACAGACACATGCACACACTTTTGTTAATCAGCTAATTTTTCATTATAAAGAATGCGTCTTTGTGTATTTATCAGTAGATTCAACTTTGATCACTATATTAAGGAGGGTAAAGCCTTGCAGATGCATTGGCAATATTTGTAGGCTGTGTCAGGAGAAAAAGCTGATTATAGTAATATATCTGGACAAAATCAACTTGTTGAATCAACAGTATGAGGTTATGTCAAAATATAGACATACTAATAAATATGCTTTAGACAAGTACAAGCCCAGATGATTACAAAATTTTTCTAATTTTTTTCCTCAATGCCAACTATTCCTTCACGCCTTCTCTTCTGATATTTCTAATTTGTGGCATTTTGTTAATCTATATAGATGGGCTTAATTCGTACTACAAATTAACCAAAGTGACTATCCTGACAAGATTGTAAGGTCGAAACCCAGGTAGTACATTATACGTGAAATTTTTCTAATCTTTTAGAATTTTATTATCTGCTCTACACATTCTATTTTGTGAATTGTGTATTGAACACTTTTTAAAAATTTCCACACATTGACTTGACTCCAGCACATTGTAGGCAAGTTTATAGATGATATATATATATATATATACATATATATATATATATATATATATATTGTGTATATTTAGGCAGCAATTTTTCATTGATGCATGTTTCATTAAATAATATAGACAAGTTTTGTCTATTTATTTTAAGTAAGTTCCTTTCATATTGTCAATGAATATATATATATATATATATATATATATATATATGTGTGTGTGTGTGTGTGTGTGTGTATGGCCAATTCCTTTCAATTGTATTTTTTATTGAGATATTACAGGCCATGCTTTGTCCAGTATCCTAATCTCTATCTATAAAAGGAAGGTGTGTGTGTGTGTGTGTGTGTGTGTGTGTAACGAATGCATGGCTGCAATTTTCGACAGATTTACACCAAAATTTACATGCACATGCTCCAAGTTAGGGGAAAGGCCAAGACCAACTTTGCATTTCCCAACTCCCATTGATAGTGGAAATAATCTATTTTTTCATGCTTCTATAGCAGTTTTCATGTAGTTTGCAGCCATTTTCTACTGGCCAGAGTGAGAGCCAATAGCTGGCTGCCACGAATAGGCAGGAATATTCTATTTGCCAGAATGAGAGCTAACAGCTGACTGACCCGAATGTTAACTAGCATGCAAAAAAATCAATAGCTGCATTCGTCACAAGTGGGAAAAATTTAAATCTGCATGGCACTTTACTTCAATTGGCTCATTCACTTGCTTAAACTCAACGTTGATTCTGATTCCACAGAACTGGGTTGGGTGTGAAAAAGTATTTGCTGTTAACATTCTTTTTTCATTCGGTTTTTCCATTTACGAGTCCTTTTTTAAAGCTGATCATTTTGTGTTCATTTTGCTTAGTTCTTTTTTCGTAACAGATTTAATGTTTAGTATAGAGCTTAGAAAAAATTCGCAGTGTGAGATAGGCAAGAAGTAAGGTATGTAGCAATATCAGCATGGCAAAGGGCACTCCTTTAAAGGCAAGGAAGGGCAAAAATATTTTAAGTCAAGTGATAGCGATTGCTGTATGAGTCGTACGATTTTTGAATCAAGCACAGGCAACGCCAGGCCATGCTGCTAGTATCTAATAAAGAATACTGAAAAAATCTGGTAAAACAAAAACACTAGATAAAACTGGGCACATAATACTACCTATATATATTTTTGTACTCCCTTACTTCTGCAAAACAGAAAAATATGTAAGGATGCTGAAAAAACTTAATAAAAAATTAATTCAATCTTCTTTGTTGGACACATTCAATGAAAGATGCTTGAAAGAAAGGTTGTTGCCCAAATATACATTCATATATATATATATATATATATATATATAAACTGTTAGTTGTATACAACTGCTAGCTGATACACCCTGATGAGTGGACAGACTGATTTGTGGAGGGTCTGTCTACAATACTCTATTATTGGGATACTGAAGGTAACATCAATCAGCTTAATAACAAACATTTTACTTGTATTAATACTCTCGCCCCTACATCTCTCTCTCTCTCTCTCTATATATATATATATATATATATATAGATATTTAAACTATCAGTTGTATACAACTGCTATGATATATATATATATCTATAACCAGATAACAGAGACCATATCACATGAGGACTTTCAACAACAGCAACAACTAAAAAGGATAGCCGATATTACTTGAACAGAAAACAATGACATACTATATTCCATACTATGCAGAAAAGAGCAATAAAAGCTCCTAGACTTGAGAAACTTATTTCCTGAAAAATTATTTTAAAAAGAAAGATTTTATAAATTTCAACTGACAGTAGTAATGGCTGTTTGGTCAATGAATACCAAATATTTGTTTATAAGGAAATAGCTATTACTATTGCCATAAGATTTAAATTGTGTTGTTCTTGTTCTAAGTATTATTGTTCATTACCAACCTTCATTTGATTATTCTATTCAGTAACCTTCCTTAGGTTACAACAAATAGGAAACAAGACATATAAACCTATAGTACTGTTCAAAAGACCAGGAAGGAGTGTGAACTAGATGATAGATGAACCTATCTACACCTATTGAGAAAAAATTAAAATAAATAATAAATAAATTTTCAGAGTTTGGGTGGAGATTTTAGAAGGCACAGTGGAGTAATGGATAGCAGCTCAGATTGAGGAATCAAAGATCCATGTTCAAATTCCAGTTGAATCCATTACATTCATTTACATGCTAATACCCTTGGGAAAGGTATGAATCCTCTTTTTCTCCCTCTAGCTATGGGTAAATAGCAGGACAGACCGGATTCTTGGATGGCAACTATTCTACTGTAGAACAAAATGGCAACCTACTGCAGGAAAAAAATCTGCCTGATAAGTCATGTATCGAAAGATACATAATCACCTAAGCGTGTATCATGTATGGTACATAACTGACTGACTGTTAGAAGTATAGAGTTGAAATAGACTTTAGAAGCCACCAGAAACCCAATCCTAAACAGGAAACAAGGGATAAATCTCTACACCTATTCAAAAGACTAGGGAGGAATGTGAATTGAACGAGAGGTGAACCTATCTACTCCTGTTAAATCAGGGAAACATTTCAAAATAAAAGTTCATCAAATTGTCATATATTCTACCAGACATAAAAATTAATTTAAACAAATTTTTAAAAATTGAACCTATAAAGTCTGACTGTTTAATTTTTTATTATATTTTTACCATTATCAAATAAGTTGTTGAACATTCTCCACCCCCCCACACACACCAAATTAAACAAACAGACCTTATCAGGTGAATTTAAACACAGTGTAGTAACATATAGCAGCTTCAATTGAGGAATTGGAAAGCAGAACGCAAATTGGGAAAGGTATGAATCCATCTCTTCTCCCTCCAGCTAAGGGTTGAATAGTAGGACAGACTAGATTTTATAGCCTTGAGTAGCTGCTAGTCTAGGAGAAGGACAATTCAGAATTCAAAACTTGAGAAGGGTCATTTGGAGACATTGTGACACGTGCACTAGTATTTGCCTCTGACAAAAAGTGTGGATGGTTCTGCACAAGCTTTCTACACTATCCTTGTTTCTTAGTGGCCTTACTGCTTTGCTTGGGGGTAAATTTGATAAAAAAAGAAACTATAATCAAATCATATGTTTGAGCAGTCTGGCTATTTAGTTCCAAAAAATGACTTGCTGTTCTCTACCCTGATACATTGAAAACAATGGCAGATTCCAATACACACAGATACAAGTGTGGGAGTTTGAAAGTTCTCAGCTCAAATAAAGATAGATAGGAACATACTGAGAAAGACAGACTATCTGACTCAGCTTTGCTTGGTTTGCAAGTAAGAAAAGTTAGAAAAAAAATCTGTTAATACTTAGCATACTTTACTTATGCTTAAACAGTTATGTAGATAAATGATGAGATAGAACAAATAACATATGAGTAAATAAACATCAGGTACTGCACCCTGGATGAAAGAGAGATCATCATACAGGGAAAATAATTTATATATAGATGGACTATATGTCTGTATCAACTTTCATATATTTGAATAAATTATAATAACTGACATAGATATATAGCATGCATTTACTGACGCACAGATAGAAAATAATTCAAAGTGGAGTTTTAGAAGAGGCTCTATGACTAAAATAATCATCTTTTTTTCATGTTACTATAGATTAAACACTCCAAATTACAGACATGACAAATTTTGTATTTTTATCAAATTTTATAAAAGTTAATAGGGGCCCAATTTTCTATGTAAATTTATTGTAAATTGACCCCCTAACCACTAAAAAAATATGCTCATACATAGTTTCCAAAGGTTTACAGCCACATCACATCGAAACATTAGTTGCCATACAATCACTGAAGTTAAGCAACATTGAGCCTGATCAGTACCTGGATGGGTTACCATGTGGGAATACCAGCTTGGATGTGTGGGTGGTGTAATGGATAATAGCTCAGAAATGTTAAGAGATCAAAGTTCCAATTTTAGTTGGGTTTGTTATATTCCCTGATGTGCAAATACTTTTGGGAAAGGTATGAATCCACATCTTCTCCCCAGCTATGGGTTAATTAACTAAAAGTATTAATAAAACAATTATCATCTCCCCACGACCCCAAAATAAAATTGCATACAAAATATTTAGGTCTTGGCATTAAATAACCAATAGAGGTTGATATGCTGCTAAACAAAAACCGTTATCTTTTGTTTCCAAGCTGATACACAAAATAGAATCTAATCATTTATTTTACAAAACTTTTCTTTCATATATTACTGTTGATTAACCTTTATCTGTATGTGACTTCATTTGCTGTGCAAAAAGTTTATCTGGCCACTGAAGATGACTCACTCTAGTTCTTGGGTAACAAAGAAAAGAATGCTGAGCTGTTACATGACATCTGTCCTTCTTTACGGCAGCAAATCTTGGACAATTTCCTCAAATATGAAAAAGAGACTCGAGGTGACGGAGATTTGGTTCTACAGAAGGATGATAAGGATATCATGGACTGAGCATGTGAGCAACAACGAAGTCTTAGAGAAGATGCAAACAAGGAGGAGGCTTATATTTAACATCAGGAAAAGGCAGCTGAAGTTTCTGGGACACATAATGAGGAAAGAGGGCCTGGAGAATCTGATACTCACGGGTCGAATAGAGGGAAAGAGAGACAATGGAAAACAACACGTGACATACCTGGGGGGGCTTAAGTAAGTGGATGACAGAACGTGGTCTGGAGGAGATGGCAGAGGGAAGGAACTTGTTAAGAGCTGCAAGGGATAGAGGGAGATGGAGAGCCATGATTGCTTACGTCCTGAAAGGACATGGCACATAAAAAGAAAGAAGATGACTCTGATCTCTGAATTTGAATTTGTTTGAATTTCATAGTTGTGTTATCATATCCTTCTATGGGAACAGATAACAACTTTGAGTGAAATTAACAATAAGGATACTGCAATTGAGAGGCCTTGAAAAAGAATGCAGTGGAAAGGGAAGTAATATTAAATTAGCAGATTATAATTTTTTTTTAAACATTTTGCATTTTTAAAATTTTTAAGTTATCCTGTGGTATGAACATATTTATTTGGGCTTCCAGAGTGGGCGGGGTGCTCAATTTAAGATGAATTTACATAGCAAACACAACTTCCCTATTAACTTTTATAAAATTTAATAAAAAAGAAATTTTTTCTTGATGTTTGTAATGTAGAATATTTAATCTATATTAGTATGAGTAAAAGATGATTATTTCTAGGTGCAGTGCCTCTTCTAAAAGTCCACTGACCACAACTTGTACAGTGTGAATGATATAAGAACTAATTATAGACATCAAGGGAAAAATATTTATTCAGAGAAAAAATCCTTTGCATAACCTGATACTTCAGACAGTAATGGCCCTAGGGTTGCCAGCAACCCAGGTAAGCTGAACTTCTGTGCCCTTAAAATGGGTTTGACCACCAAACCATAACAGAAAGAATTAATAATCAAATTTTCAAAAATTTTACCCCACACAAGGAATTTAATATTTTGTACTTTTTTTGACTTTTTCTTTGGATGATCTTTTTGTTTGGAAGATGGCACCCCAGCCAAATGCCTTAGTTGCCAGTACAGTGAGCTGTCCCTGGCTTCAGGTATGTATATAAAAATGAAAAGGAATTAATAAGAAATTAATTACTTACCTTTGGATCGGAATAGAGGCACTGAAGGAGAAGGTTCAGTAAGCTCTCCGGTTTCACTTTCTCCTCGAACTCTGAAAACGTAATCCTGTGTAGGTTTTAAGTTTGTTATTAAGTAATTTTTAGTTGGTAATCCCTTGACCAAAGTCTTCCACTCCTTGGATGGCGGTTCAAGTACTTCAACTGTATATCCCTGTAGTGCTGGTTCTCGATCATATGGTGGGAAATAGATCCTGTGCCATTGCAAGAGTATCCCCGTTTTATCATCAGATACAATTCTTGGTTGGAGGAAAGGAGTCACTGATAGATGTCCTGAGTAAAAAAGAAAAGATAAACAGGTAACAGAGAAATTGTTAGAATAAGACATTCTGTATGCAGTAATGCAATATCTTTGTTTTGTGCGTGTTTTTATATATATATATATATATATATATATATATATATATATATATATATATATTCAAACACATTTGGTTAAATAATTTAGACATATCATGTCAATTTGTTTTTGTTGTGATTCTTTCAAGAAAATTGAGTAAGAAAAATACCAAAATATTCTTTTGAATAGTTTTTTTCTTTTCTCAACTACTTTCAATCTAATCTAAGACCATCTTCAGAGAGTTAAGTTATCCTTGAGTATGGATATGCATTTCTGTGAATTTAAAACATTTCAACTGTTCATTTTTTTTTTTTACTACTTATGCAGCATTCTAGATTTAAAGGTCATGTGTTCTTTTGGGGTTTTTTTCAGGGTAAGGGGAGTAAATTTTTTTGTTTTTGTTCATACACATATAATAATTTTTTTTTTCATAAGCATTATTAAATTAATCTCTGAACTTAAAAGGATCACAATCAAACCTAATCAACATATGTCTAAATTATTTAACCAAACCTGTTTGAATGAAAATATGCTGTCTATATATATATATATATATATATATAGGCAGAATATTTTCATATATATATATACAACAGATAACAATATATAAATTTTTATATATCAAGAAAAAATATTGGGGAAAAATGTTTTTCATGTGATGCTTTTCATCCTTTAGTCTGATGAAGTACTAAAGGCTGAAATATGACGCCAGAAAACATTTTCCACTCTGTCAAATATATATATATATATATATATATATACATATTACCCACAACTATGAACTAAAATAGTAGTACAAAATGTACTTTTTAGCCTTGGTTGTTAACCAGTCTAAGAAAATGACAATTCTGAATTCAAAACTTGAGAACTACTTGGATATTTAATGGCACATTATATAAATCAATTCTCTGGTGTCAGTTATGAAGTGTGGATGGTCTTGCACAAGCCATCACCATTATAAACAAACCATATGTGTGTGTAGTCTGCCTGAGAGAAGACAATGGGAGAGTCCATCATATATATATATATATATATATATATATATATATATATATATATATATATATATATGGGTATCAACACAGAATGATGACAGTCTGTTTCATGCTTAAATGCATTTATCATGGCTTGACAATTACATTTAAGTATGAAAGATAAGACTGCCACTATTTAGTGTTGATACCTATGTTCACACTGCTTATATTTATATACTCTCTGTCCAAATTATATATATTTATATATAAAAGGCTCACACACTAATATTTCATGATTATAATTTATTACATTGTAATAAATTATAACCATGAAATATTAGTGTTTGAGCATTTTATATTATATTCTTGTTCTGTCTTGTACATAGAGCTGTACCTGGATTTTATCCTCTTGGAAATATATATATATATTGACCACTAATACTATATATATATATATATATATATATATATATATACACAGGGGACTGAAAAGTAAGTATACAGTAAGTATTGCCATTATTATAGTAGCAGTCCTTTGATTCATTTAATTCATTAAAATCAGTTTTAATATTTTTATTTTCATAATTTTTATTATAGTACAGCCATTTCTAGGAATTTTTTTTTATAAAAAGTTGTACCATATTATCTCAAAGTTGTATCCACATAAATTATAGTTTGAGATTTAAAATTACAAGCAATTTGATTTGTTTGTTTAATGGCACACCAACTCCTTATGGGTCATTTAATGCTGAAGTTTAATTTTCTTGGGAGCTTTGAAGTAGTAAAAATATGGTACATGTTATTCTCCTTTCACAGTTGAATACATGGTAGATGATACTCAGCTTTTATGCATATACACGTTTCTGTGAACATAATCACTCAAGACAGTGATAAGTGTGTTTTATGTTGTAGTATTGTTAAAATTACATTTTGGAATGCAGTTTGATTTCATTAACAAATTGTAGGATATTATATGGATTAATGCCATAAAAGAGATCTCTCATGATGATTGATGTATTGTTGGTAATTTTTTTTTTTTTGTATAAAATTATATTGCTGGTATTTTTACTATAAAAATGTATTTTTATAATTTCATATGTTTTATTTTTGCTTGGGGTTTCATTATTTGTCTGGGGTCCTAACAGGTGCTACCAACCCACATCAGGGTGAACCTGGGAACAATAGCAGTTAAGAGGTGGTTCCACTCTCCTCAAAACCTCCTGATCAGAGGCCTTGCTGCCAGATGTAATTTATTGTAAAATTACAAGTAGCAGTGTACACTATTTATATAGATGATATGTCCCGGAAAGTGATATATTTGAACAAAGTAGCTAAATGGTTTTGGCTACTATAACCAAGTAGAATACAGTAGTAGTAATCAACTGGTATGCATCGGAGTCGCAAGTAAGAAGTGTAGATCAATGGCGTAGTCTAATGGGTGTCGTTATAGACTTAGACTCTGACTTAGCCTTTGATCCTCTCGTACCTACACATCCGTCAGTATTTATGACAGACACCAGCCAATCATATTCCAGTGAGGGGGAACACAGGTGTACACATATTCCATTATATCAATAGAGATATAATTATGTCAAGCTTGTTTGCATATCTATTTTATATTAATTTATTTTTCTCAAATCATCCGAAGTTTTCAAACTGGATATTTTGTGTCACCAAATGGAGGAATATGAAAAAAACAACCTCACAACATGGGAATTATTGACCACATTTTCAAGCCTTTTTCCTGGGATGAAGGTGTATATTTTCTCTTATTTTAGCCTGGAGAAGATGCCCAGTTCAAGGGATTTCAACCCTGCTATATATTCGGGTTTAGTGTAATATCAAGGCCAACATGACAGAGGTTATTTACACTCTTTACATTGTTTGGACTGTGGATAAAAGC